GTCTGGCTCCTCGGCGGCGGGGAGTGGACGGCCAGCCCCCCGTCTCTCCGGGAGCGTGGTCAAAGGCCGGTTTCACTTTTTACCGGACTGAGGACTTGGCACGCTCCTTTTTTTTCTTTACCCCTTAAGGGGAAAAAAAAAAAGTCAGTGAAAATTTTAAAAAGTCGGTCGCGCGTTGACTTGTGGAAAGTTCCCCCTCAAAAGGAAACGTGGCAGGAAAAGAAAGAATCAGACCGGTTGGACAGAAGAACTTTGGTTCCCATTAAGGAGAATTTGGGATTCCCCGGGCCGGCCGGGGCCCTGCGCGTTCGCTGGGCGTCCCGCACGCCCGGGTCCGCCTCTCGGGGTGCTCCAGCTCCGTGGGAGGCGTCCCAGTCCTGGCTCCGCCCCTCTCAGCTCTCCCCTGGGGCCGGAGCGGTGGCTGCTGGCTGCTGGCTCCTCCGTGCTTCCCGACCCGGACGTGGCCCAGGAGAAACTGGGCTTCTTTTAAAATAAGATTCACGAATCGTTGGCGACTTCTAGAAATAGGTTAAGAATGAGCACTCAAATCTGCTGTCAGACTTTCTCTTCACTTTAATATTTTTAACCGAATTAAAGTCACCGTGGACAAGAGAGTCGTTTCAGACAAGACGGTTTTTCTCCTAGTGTGTATTATAAGGCTCGCCACGGAGATTGTGAGGAATTAAAACAGATCCTTCATCTGAAATTGGTTTCAAAAAGGTTTTTTTCCCCCAAATATAGAAGTCTACTCATTTCTGTGGGTGTAACTGATCATTATCTCACCGATTATTGGACTCTCCCAGGAAGTATTCCGGGCTCATTTTCTTATAAATAGAGAAACCTAAGTTGCCAAGAGGCCGCGTGTCCTCGTTGCCTGGTCTGTCTCTTGTGGATTTTATTTTGTAGCCTATGTCAGAGACCCAGCCAGAACTTCCTCAGAACGAGCCACGTTGTCTGTTGGAGTTAGGTGCTGGGCTTAGCTTGGGAACCTGGACTGCCGTGCTCTGTTGTAGATGGTCAAGTAGAATGATCTTAGGTCTAGAATGCTCCTGAAACGTGTAAACCTGATCTTTAGCTCCTCAGCGAGTGGAGTGTCATGCTTTTGTCCCCGAGGGAACAATCTGAGGACAGTCACAGAATCTTGTACAGAGAAACAGCTCTTCACTTCCTAACGTGCCTGTGTTGGAGACATTTCAGAAACAAATAGGTGGGAGTAGTTACCGAATGCCTGTGCTGCATACCGTGAGAATGTTTTTCTAGTTGAATCTGAGTGGAGCGTACTAGAAATCAAAGGTCGAAAGCATGTGTATTTGCACTCTGCACTGATGAGGGTGAAGGTTAACAGATGTAGTTAAGAAGCAAAGAGATAGAGAATATTTTATGCTGTTAACGATTGGAATTTCATGATTGTCCAAAACAAAATCTTAAAAATTGAGAATATGGGAGCAAAACCTTTTTAGTCAAGTGAAAGCCATTAGAAAATGAGAAAGTGAAGCTATTTTAGGAATATCTAGATTATTCATTTGTTTGATAAAAGCAGACAGTAGATTGAAAGCCGTTGTGGCATTTTGTGTGTCAGTGAAAATCCTTTTTCAAAAACGGCGGCTCGTGATGTTTTTCATCTGTATAGTGTTGTTTTAAATACAGTGCACGGCGCAGTAATTGCTGAGAGGAGCACCCGTGAGTCCTTTCTGGCACATTCCTGTCTGTCTGTCCTCCCGCCCCTCAGGTGGAGGGAGCATCGTCTGTCTGGTTTGTGGCAGGGCCGCCCCATGCCCCTTGTGCAGTTGGCCAGGCGTGCTAACTCACTTTCAGAAGGGCTTCGATCAACGTAAAAACAACTCCTGGGGAGTCATGTTTTGTCCGGTCGTCTTCCAGGACTGTCAGCAGTTTCAGGCTTGCCAGGAATATATTTTCTTAAAATCCTGCTAAGCTTTACCACAGTGTTAAATACCTTTCTTTTTGAAAGTCTTTTTATTAAAAGTAAATAACAAATTAGAGGATTTCCTATGATTCTTTTAAATCACTCTAATGTCTGTGTATAGGTCCTGAACAAAGCGAAATTTTTAAAGAACCCAGTCATTCGTAATTCATGGTAGGGAGTCCCCCCTCCCCTTTTTATTTTTAAATCTGAAGAGAAAAAAAGTGTTTCAAGTATACACTTTATAAATAGTGGTTAAAAATTGAAGCTCTGTTTCCGAGTGAAACAATGAGTTGAGAATCAGGGCAGGACTCCTAGTACGTCGTTCCACACGTCAGTGATCTCGGGCCTCTGCTTCATTCTCTAGAAGCAGTGGGGTGGGCGTTGCCAGGGGAAGGGTGAGCTTTGGCTTTAAGTTTCAGTGACCCAGGTGATAAGAGGCTGCAGATGTTCGTCTCGGTTCTAGACCAGGACCTTTCTAGTTTGCATAGTAACCATCTTGTTTCTTTCACGACAGATCATTCGTGTTCAGTCCCCGGATGGGGTGAAGCGGATCACGGCAACAAAGAGAGAGACAGCTGCGACGTTCCTGAAGAAGGTGCCTGGGGCTCTGGGCCTTTACCTCGAGAGTCTTCGTCTCTCACTGTTATTCTCTGCTTCTGTGTCTTTTCTCTCTTCCTCCTTTCCCGGTTCCGCTCGCTCCCAAGTTCAGTAATTACACATCAGGATTCTCTCAGGTGTGGATGTAAAGTTTTGAAGATTTCAGTCATGCTTTTGTGAGGCTCCGCTAAGGTTTTTTTTTAAACCTCCCAGCGCCTTAGACAGATTTCTGTCTTTAGACACAACTCACAAAGCTCACAGAAGTAGTAATTTTCCCAGGAGTAGTGTAAAAAAAACGAATATATATTTCTTTATCTCCCCAAAGTGGGAAACAGCAGATGTGAAGTGCGGCCTGTGGTTATCCTGTCTGAGAACGTCTCTGCGTCTCCGTCCTGATGGAAGCAGAGAGCTCTGGTTGTCTGGTCCTAGGGAGTCGCCTTGACCCAAAGGGCTGGCCGACTCAACACCCTGCCCGTTTTGGAAGCTGCTTTCCATCCAGAAGTCTTGTGGTAGCTTTGCTACAGCTAACAATCCTGGTGAACGATTTCTCGTTCTTGGTGATGGCTTGCAGTGCTTTGTCTACAGGAAAACATTGTTTTGCAGAATTGATGAAGTGACAGAATTTGTTAATTTCCATTTATATCTAAATTGTTTCACTGAAGAGTCAAAGCCATTGTTTTTAGTCTTCAGTCTTAACTTTGTTTGCACTGGGGGATACAAATTTCATGGTTTTAATTTCCTAATGCTTTATTTTAGGATGAATGCCACTTTTAGCTTGGAGGAAAAAATCACACGGTATCACACACTTAACTAGTACACGTGGTGTAAAATCTTTGTCTTAAAGACCATTTCTCATATACTTTCAGAATTTCAGGATGACAAGGTGATTAGTTTTAGTCCGTTTTTTTAAGTCAGTAGAAAATAGTACATAGAGTTAATTATTAAATCAACTCCTTTTCTTTACGGTGAATAAACACTAGGTTTTATCAATAAATTTCACATTAAAGGGTAAGTCGGTCCCCGGTGAGAGGCAGCAGGTGGAGGAGGGCACACGCCGTGGGTGGGGCTCGGGGCCACTGCTCCACCGTCGTCTCTGTCAGGGTCCTTGGCGGTTCCTTGGTCGATCCGCGTGCACAGAGTTGTCCTCACGCTGCCTGCTCCGGTGTTTCCTCGGGCCGGGGTTTCTGTCTTTAGCCTGAAGAGTGTCCGCGAGCAGTTACTGCAGTGGCAGCCGCGGTGACAGCTCCCTCAGGTCTGGGTGACCCCAGATCGTTTTCATTCTCCCCTTGTGTTCGAAGGGAGGTTTCACCAGACGCAGAGCGCTGAGTTGACAGATTTTTATTCCTCCCCCTTCCCGCACTTTCAGGATGTCATTCCACTGTCCCTGGCCCCACCCGTGCCTGCTTGGGGCCTGCGGCCGATGTGCTTAGGGGGGTTTCTTTTCCTTTTCCTTTTCCTTTTTCTTTTTTTCTTTTCTTTTCTTTTCTTTCTTTTCTCTTTTGGATTTCTTTATTCTACTTTGGGTTTGCTGAACTTGTAGGATTTGTTCTATGTTTTTCATCAAATTTGAAGTTTTGGCCATTTTTTCTTCAAATATTTTTCAGTCCAATCCTTGTTCTCTCCTGAGGATCATTTGACACGGTCCCTGGGGTTCCTAGGGCTCCGGTCATTTTTCTTTCAAATCTCCGTCTTCAGGCTGCGTGGTTTCTATTAACCTACCTTCGGGTTAGCCGGCGCCTCTGCAAGCCCCCTTCTGCTGACGCGCTCACCCAGCGAACTTTCCGTTCAGTTGCTGTGCTGATTTTCAGTCGTAGAATTTCCACTGGGTGTTTTCTCCGTTTGCCAAGCTTTCTCGTCTCTTCGTCTGTCCAACTGCTCCGCTGAGCCCTGAGTGTCCAGCTTCGGCTCTCGCCTCTCCTGGCCGCAGACTCAGTAATGCCTGCCTGACACCTCCACGGGGGGTTCGGCAGCCACCGCGTCTCAGCGCCGAGCGGAAGGCCTGATTTCATTAAAGTCTCCAGTCTCCTTCCTTTGGTCTCTCACGGTTTCCTTACAGGTGTCGCCTGCAAACAGGCGTCCACCCAGTTCTCCAGCTGCATTCTAGCACCACTCTGCTGTCCTTCCTGTCCCTCACTCCTTTCTGTCCCCTCATCCTGCCGGTCAGCAAGGACTGCTGCCTAATGCCAGCTAGGTCCTCCCTCTGCGCCACCGTCCTGGCCTCGCCCGAGCCCCGTCTCCTCTGGGCGGTCCTGGCCCCGCTGCTTCCTCTTCCCAGCTGCAGCAGCGTGGCCATGAGAAGTAGGGCCGGGGGCCGGGCAGCCCCTGCCCACGGCTCCCGGGCTGGAAAGCGGACTCCCCACAGCCGGCGTGGTCCTGTCTCCCTTGCCAGTCTCGTCCCGTCCCGCTTCCCTCCTGCCCGCTGGGCACCGGCCTCACCGGCCTCTCTCAGCCCTTCCTGCCCCCAGGGCTGCGTACGTGGCGCATGGCGGGCTCACTCTGCTTCTGGCCTCTGCTCCGCGGGCTCTTCGGAGAGGCTGTCCCTGTCCTCCCGCCCGGGGTGACTGCTCCCGTGCCTCTGCTTCCTTTCCTGCTGCCGGGCTCGTCTCAGCCTGTGGTTTCCGTCTTTGTCGACTGCGTGTGGTGGTGAGATCCTCGATGGCAGGGACCTTGCCTGTTCTTAGTCACTGTTCTGAGCGCCGGCGTGTAGGCAGTGCGCAGACCCGCTTGCTCTGGGGAGGGAGTGGGTGGCCGGCTGAGCCCAGGGCCTGTGCGGTGGGCACCATTACTGAGTCGGAGGCATCTTCGACGCTTCATCCTCCTGTTAGGTTTCAAAATTGGAATTGGGATTTTATAATCGATTTTAAAAGTAGAAATTACATTTTCCTGATATGGTCATGACTCTTCTTTCAGTCTCTTAAATGTGTCATACACTCTTATTTACCCAAAGCTTTGCTGCTTTTTGGCCATTTTTTCTCATTTTACTTGACGTCTGTGTAAGCAGTACCAATTTCCTCACAAGAGAGCTAAATAACAAGAGAAACTTGGTTAATGAGCAGTTTCTAAATGGACTGCGTGTTTTAGGGATGTCTGATGTGTATGTGGTCGGAATATCGATATGCAAATATGCTATTAAACCTATGTTGTTCGGGTTCGTTCCAGGTCGCAAAGGAGTTTGGCTTCCAGAATAATGGCTTCTCAGTTTACATCAATAGAAACAAGACCGGAGAGATAACAGCATCGTCCAACAAATCCCTCAACCTGCTAAAGATCAAGTAAGCGCCCACTGGCGGGGAGACGGGGTGGAGAGGGAGCGGCGACACCGGTTATCCACCTGGGGTTGCTCGGTTCGCGCCTGTTTCCTCCTCGTGCCACTCTAATCACCGTCCCCTCTACTGACTGAGATGCCGGTGACCAGATTTCTCGCCAGGTGTTCAGCGGTCACCCTGAGTCTGCAGTTACTGTTGTGTCGATAAGATTGACTTGCAGAATTCTGAGATGTGTGTCACTGAGGATGTTGTGGCCTCGGGCTGTGTGTGCAGCTGCACCCTCAGCTGCTTCTCTGCAGAGAAGGGCCTAGAATGGAGCTCTGCCGAGGTCCGCCCTGGGGCCTGACCTGCGCGGTGGGTAGGTGGCAGGCATGTTGCCCACGCTGCGTCTCTTGCTGGCGAGACCCTGGAGTGCCATAGAGTTGATCAGTAATGTCAGGAGGGGCGTCTAGGATGCAAAGGCCTCCGACTGCTTTTGCGGTTTAGTTGGAACACAGTCCCGTCCGTTCTTTTATGTTTTCTTACGCTCTTAGGGGCCAAGCTGAGTGGTGATAGACTGTGGCCTGCAAAGCTGAAAACATTCACCATTTGGCCCTTTACAGAAGACGTTTGCTGACTCCTCTCTGACGTGTGTGGGCGCGCCTGCTCGTGGATGAGTGAGCTGAACCCCAGTGTGGGTTCGCTCCTCAGGGAGCGGGCGGGAGCGCTCCCGGGAAGGGACCACTGGCTGCGGGGCGGCCTGGGCCAAGCAGTTGAGCTGGGCTCTGTGGGCAGCTGGCCGTGTGCCTGTTCACCGGTTAGAGGAGTAGGGCCATTGCGGCCGTTTCTGTGATCATTTTTGTTCACAAATAGTATAACTAGGGGGAGAACGCGCAGTTACCGTGTTCACTTATCTGTTCTTCGGCAGATGTTTGTGGGGCACCTGCCAGTTGCCTGTGCCTGTCGTCAGATGAAGCCTTTTGTTTGTTCGTGTCCGTTTCCAGGGTGGGCGAGGTGTAGCTTTCTTCCTATCTTCGAAAGGGTTTTTGACCTGCGAATCACTTCCGAGTGTTGTGTGGGATTCACACTCCGCCACACTGACCGTGTGCCTGGGGAAGTCGCTTAACCTCACTGGGCCTCACCACCCTTGTCTGCAGAGGGGTGTAGCTCCTCCCTCTCGTGGCTGCACGGTGCCTGCACGTGGTGAGCACTGAAGAGATGACAGCCGTGTTTTTAGAACTGTTCTCATAGCTGGACTCAAGAAAGGGAGGCTACAGACGGAAACGCTTGTGAGACAGAAGCATCGGACTGGAGTGTTGTCACACCAGTCCTGGACCAGAGGTGTGGGACAGCTCGGCCATCCTGAGGTGGCGCTTGGAGCGGATCTTTCCAATGACAGTCACGATGCTTACTGACCAGTGTGGGTCTAAACTTGAGGGCTCCCTGCTGTCACTGCTCAGTGACCGAACCGTGTCTCCTCCACTGTGTCTTTGCTCGCTTTGAGCTCTGTGTCGACCGCGGTCCCGTAGCTCCTGGCTCTGTCGTCACAGGTCTGTTGTTCACCGCTAGGTGGGTGATCTTCTCCCGCTCTGGCTGCTTTTGAGACCTTCTGTTCGTCTTGGGAGCCGCCGTTTCCGTTCCCTGAGCAGCGTGGATCGCTGCCTGCTTGGCTGGTTGTTTAATCCTCCCTGAGGCAAATCGTGTTTTCTGTATTTGCAGCTCAGGTCTGGAAAAGCTGCGGTCATGATCTCCTTAACTGCTACCTCTGCCCCACCCTCTTTATTTCAGCGATCATATCTTTCAGTTTGCGATGTTCTCTTTGGTGCCTTTCGAAGCTGGCTGTTCACTTCACTTGCTCACAGGCGCCGTGTTGCTCCGGGTTCCTTCCCGGCCTCCGCCGTGCTCTCACTGTGCTCACCAGGCTTCCAGTGGAGACCGCTGGCTCCTTGCAGGCGCTAACGCAGCCTGTCACACACACGGTGCTTCGCTCTTGGGTCCTGTGATGTCGGTGGTCTGTCTCTGTGAGTATTCAGGGTTCACGAGGACACCTGTCATCAGTGTCATTGGCTTTGCCCAGCCTGTCCGTATGAGGGAGGTTTGGGAAGAGCCACCCAGCCTGGCGCCCCGCTGTCCTGCATCTCCTAGTCCCCGTTGTCATCTTGGATAGCCTTTCTGCTCGCGCTCTTTTTCCATTCAATTTTCATTTAATATTCTACACGTAAGTTTGTGTCATATCTTGTAATTCCAAATCTGAAGCCCTTGGCTGTCTGTTTTCTGTTGTCTCTGCCCACTCTTGCTCATAGTGGCTGCTCCTCTTGTACATTTGGTGACCTTTTCTTGAGAGTTTGTATTCGAGCAGACTTGGCCTTGGGGAGTCCTGAAGGGTCCCTGGCCAGCGGCTTTCTTTCCGAGAGGGCTTGTGTTTGCTTGTGCGGGCACAAGGGGGCGCCAGGGACCCAGCACTCCTTTGAGACAGGTCCCGTCTTTGGGCTTCCCTAACCAAGTCGCAGTCGGGCAAAGCCGGCGTCGGACACAGATCGGAGGTGACTTTTTTCCTGCTCTGCAGTGGACGAGACAGGGTTCCTCGTTGGTTCCTCTTTTGAGCTGGGCCGTGTCCCTGCTCAGGACATCCTCAGACATCGTGCTGTGTAGGGAGTTGCGGGTGCGGCGGCGCTTTGGGCAGGGAGGCTCGAGGCCGTGTCACCGTTGTCCAGAGAACAGTGTGGGAGCCAGGCTCGGGCTTCCTGCGTGGGTTCGCCGCCGCTCTGTGGGAGCTTCTCCTGGTTTGGGGGCCTTGGGGATTCCTCCCTTTCTCTAGAGCTCACCAGCGAGTTTGAGAGCACATTTGTTAAGGCTGACGCAGCAGCCGAGCCCAGGATTCCAGAGCCGGAGGGGTTTCGTAGTATCTCATCCGCTGTTAGAAACAAGTCTCCAGTTACTATTTGGCAGTTTTATCGCTCCTATGTGACGGCCGGAAGAAGAGCAGAGGACAGATGTGCTGGAGAGTGCAGCCCAGCAGCCTCTCTGCTCCTCGTCAGCGCCAGCGTGCTGGCTTAGCGCTGCGCGGGCCGTCCTCGCAGTCTCTGTCTCCTGCGTGTTTCTTGTTGACAGCAGGTATTTACCGGCTGGTAGTGCTGCAGCTCTTCCTCCGAGACGGGTCTTGCCTTTTCGTGTTGCAGGCCGTGCCTGGTCGTGCAGGGACCCACAGCGCTTCTGCAGGCTGCCCGTGGGTGGCAGATGTGGGTTTAGCCTCAGGTCGGCTGTGTGGATCAGGTCCAGCAACACGCAGTGGGGGTCTGATCAAGGGGGGAATATAATTTACGTCGAAAATGATTGAAGACCAAATATTGGCGTATAAAATGTGAGTTACGGCAGCCTTTTTGAAAACAATGCATCAGTGGCTTTAAAAACACACAAAACTCCTTCGGTCCAACAGGGCCACCACCTTGCAGAAGGGAAACCGTGTGGCTGCCTGTCTTTGGGCATTTCCTCAAGTGGTGTTCTCAGTGGCAGGAAGCCACAGAGGCGCATGTGCCCATCCGTGTAGGAGCAGCAGAGTAAATCACGAGGCGGCATCACTGGGGAACATCGTGCGGCCGTTAAAAGCGACAATTAGATGTAGACTGTTCGGAGGGATCTCATGAGGTATTGTCACATGAGAAAAGCAAATGCAAAAGTGTGTTTTTGACAATCTCATTTTGTCAAGCAGTGCTGTACGTGTCTTCACATCTGTCCGTATGCGTGTGCGTCCATGGACACAGAGAAAGGAGTGGAAGGGTCTGTCGAGCAATAAAACGTGGGGGAGCTGAGTAGAGGACTGAGGACCGATCAAGGGAAAGTGGGGGCCCAGCAAAGAATGGGGGGGGGCAGGAGCGCGCGCAGACCTGGTCTGTGTTGCAACTGCGTAGCCGAGCCTTGAACAGCGTGGGTCTGAGCTGCGCAGGTCCACGGACATGCGGATATTTTTTGATAAATACACAATTAGCACTGTAAATTAGGGGATGGAAAACAGATTTTTGATCCGCAGTTGAGAGTCCGCGGATAGAGAGGGCTGACTGCGTACGCGGATCTGCACCATTGCACACGGGGCTGGAGCACCCGCAGGTTTGGGTGTCCAGGGGGTCCTGGGGCTAGCTACCCACAGATACCGAGCACAACTGTAGTTGAGCTTTGGAGGAGTCAAAAGTTACCTGCATATTTTGACTGTGGGGGTTGGCATCCCAACCCCCACATCGTTCAGGGGTCAGGTGTCTATTCATCACGTGAAACTGGGAGGTGTATGGATGAATCTCAGATGCTGAACACAGGTGTTTGGGAGATTGAATCGCAGCGAGAGGGAGTCTGCTGCTGCCCTCTGTAACGCTGGGCACACAGGACACATGCGAAGAGAGAATTTAGGTCTCTTAAAAGTGGAAACCTCGTTATTTAGGCTTTCGGGATGGCTGACGGATGCTTTTTGCAGATGTCAGTCTCATGTCCAAGCTGATCTCTGCAGCTCAGGCCTCCACTTATGTTTGTCACTTGAACAGGCATGGCGACTTGTTGTTCCTATTTCCCTCGAGCCTTGCCGGACCGTCATCTGAGATGGAGACGTCCACCCCGCCGGGCTTGAAGGCCCTGGGCGCGCCCACCGTGGTGGAAGATGAGATCGACCAGTACCTCAGCAGGCAGGACGGCAAGATCTACAGGAGCCGCGACCCGCAGCTGTAAGTGCACCGGGGCTCCGACGGGGTGTGTGTGTGTGTGTGTGTGTGTGTGTGTGTAACACGCTCTGTAGGGGGAGGGATCTGCTGGAGGAGTGTGAGTGGCGAGTTTGACCATGTAATGTCAGATTAAATTTCACTTCAAGTTATTTCTCGTTGTTTGAATCTTAAAGTATGTTCCACGTGAACTTTAAAAGTTTTCAAATATTTGAAACTAAGAGATTCGAAAGAAGGGAGGAAGGTCCTTACACCAAGTCTTGACCATGCTGTGTCCCTGGAGACACTTGACTGCCACGTGGCAGAGGGGGCCTTAGAAAGTGTGCCGGGCAGGAGGAGGGACGAGTAGAGGGGTGACACTTGCACCGTCCTCGTTCACGTTGCCTCGTTTAGGGATGGTGGAGCGGTCTCAGCACTGCGCAGACGTACCCTCCCATTCTTTGGGTGACCGTCTCGTTGCTGGAGACAGCGCCCCATTGACCGTTCACTTTCCCCTGGGATCATGGAAACGCCGGTGCCGTGCACGCTGCTTTAGGTTTCTGCAGTTCTTCTTAAGGAAACTGGTTAGACACGTCTGAGTTTACACGCAGTGACGGGGAGCAGTCCAAGCGAGGGCCGCTTGTCCGCAGCGTAGTCTTTGTAACCGCATCGCTCCACGCACACGACGGGTGCGACACTGAGGAGCTGCGGTCTCAGACGCCACGGTAGCAGCTTCTCCGCCTTGGATTGGAGAGCCAGAGCGGTGATCAGCTGCTGGTGGCACGGAGCCTCAGCCTGCACGCCGCTTCCGTTCGCCTTTCCTCCCGGGGCCGGTGGCAGCCCCTCACCCCATCTCTGCCTTCGAGGCGTCATTAGGAATCTTAGAGCAGGGGTCTCCAACACCCGGGCTGCAGACCGGTACCGGTCGATGGCCCATCAGGAACCAGGTCGTGCGGCAGGAGGTGAGCGGCAGGTGAGCGAGCGAAGCTTCCTCTGTGTCTGCAGCCGCTCCCCAGCGCTGGCATCACCGCCTCAGCTCCGCCTCAGACCGTCAGGCCTTAGGTTCTCATAGGAGCACCCGTCCCTGGTGCCAGAAAGGTCAGGGTCCGCTGCTTTGGAGGGTGCTTGTGTGCGCGTGCGCGCATGTGCTGACCTGTTGTCCGAGCCGTGAGAGCCTGCCTGTTAGAGACAGGCCATTGCCATCCAGAAACGCAGAACTCGCACGCAGCAGAGAGTCCGACCTCATTTAGAGGGTGAGCTGGTTGAGCCCAGAGGGATCGCCAGTTGGCCTTCCCGCCACCCAGCACCAGCCACGTCACCTGAGCTCATCGCCACAGTTGTACCGCATGTGTGGAGCTTCCCAGGTTTCTCTGACTGACTGACTGAAACCCACAGAGCCAGCGTCCCTTATATGCTTTTTCCAAAACGTGCCTGAAATGGGTGTTTTCTAAATTTGAGGTATTAACGTGCCTCTCTCAGGGTTTTTGCCATATCTGCGAATCACCTTTCTTAGTATTTGCTTAATGTTTCAATTTAAATTGACTTTAAACTCTGTTTTTAGTTAGTATCATTTTAAGCAGTTAACATCTGTGAAATCAGGTTTGATATGCCGCTGAGCTTTTCCTAAAACACGTCAGAACTAACTGAACTATGAAGATGTTCTCCATGTACCATCTACAATGATTTCACTGGGGCAGAGAAGCGATTATATTAAGTATGACGTGCACTGTAAATATAAAAAAAAAAAAAACGCCGGGAGGCAGCAGGAGGACAGACGTACTAACTGCTGTGTGTTTCTTTTGCCCTGTGCTCATCTTAGATGCCGACACGGCCCTTTGGGGAAGTGCGTGCACTGCGTCCCTCTAGAGGTGAGTCTCGTGGGGAGAGCTGCCGGGCTGCGTGGTGCTGATTTCCACAGCTGTCGGGGGCCCTTTCTAAGTCCCCGCACTTGGCCGAGGTGGAAGAACTTTCCTGTTTATTGCCCTGGGCTTCGTGTTCCCACTTGTGCAAGCTGCACAAAGGACAAGCTTTATTTACGGGAGTGACCTTGGGGCGAGTTACGAATGGCTGAAGCATTTGTATCGCTGTGATAAAGGGGCTGCGTTTACAGCGGGCTCCCTGGACGATCCTTTTAAAACCTGACACAAAGCTGGGCCTGGCAGTCTTCACGCTCGTCATTTTGATTTACTTTGCCCGAAACCTCACGTCTCCTCTGCTGGTTTGTCTGTGAGATTGAGAGTTGGCATAATAGTGCTGACTGCTAGCTGGGTAACGCTGACCTGGGCTGGCAGCCCACCCGATTTTCTTCACGAGGCCCCTCTTGCTTCATCTGGGGACTTTTTTTGCAAAATTTGCCTGATTTTTACTTGGCTTAGAGCAGTTTATGTTTAATAGAGATTCATTTTCACCTTGAAGAGCTAACTGGTACACAAAGAAAAAGTGGTTCTGACCTAGAATAAGTGAGCCCCAAGCCCGCTGCCCTCCGTGGGGCCTGCGCTCTCCCTGTGCCCGCCCCCCCGGACCCTGCGACTCCAGCAGGCGCGTGACCTACTGACTGTGTGTTGGCAGCCATTCGATGAGGACTACCTAAACCATCTCGAACCGCCCGTGAAGCACATGTCCTTCCACGCCTACATCCGAAAGCTGACCGGAGGGGCTGACAAGTAAGCACCCTGAGCGCCGCAGGGAGGTTTGTGTTTTGTGTCTGACGGGCATCGCTGAAGCCACTGAGCATGTGATTGAGAACAGTGAAGGTCGAGGTCTGGGCACGAGGCATTCGAATTCGTGACTTTGGCCCTGATGGTAGAAAAGAGGCAGGTGGGTGGAGACTGGTGCCTTGCTGTCATCCACAGTGCCCAGAGTGTCGGGTAGATGCCAGGCTGGTGCTGGCCACTGGGCGGCTCCTGGGGCACCTCACTGGCCTTCCCCAGGTATGTGGTGCCCCGGCAGCTTAGTGGTGTGTGAAGGTAGGTGAATGAGGTAAGGCAGGTTGGTGGCCTGTTGCGTCTGGAGTCTGCGCCTTTCCTCTGCTTTTTGGAAAAACTGAACCCCCCGAGGTCACGTCGGACAGCCCCGTCAGCCTCATGCCACCGGGCCGCCTGTGCATCAGCCACGGCGTGGGTGAAGCCCTGGCATTGTCCCTCACTGGCCTTGTGAGCCTCAGGAGGCTGGCTTCCCTTGAGCGCATGCTGGGACAGTGGCCAGAGAGGGGAGAACTGAGAGCACTCTGATTTCTGTTAAACCGCGTCAGGCGCTTGCCCGTGCGACCCCCCCCGTGCCTGTGCGTTCACCTCCCCGGACGGTGAGGGACCCGATAACTGATTCTATAGTCCTGTCGGTGCAGCAGGAGGAGATGGCGGCTGGGCCCAGGTCAGCAACGCTTTGTGAAGAATGTCACGCTGGCCTGATGGTAGTTTTTCTCTGACAACCCGCAGACACCTTAAAATGACTTTTTAAAAAAGTTAGACCAATAGAAAAAAATCCTACCAGAAACCCATTCTTGCCTGTCGGTGAGATGAGCTATGGATCTCTGTGGACTAGGGAATGAGCAGAGATTCTTTGTGCTGAAATCCTTCAGCCTTGCATCTGGGTCAAGGGCCATGGTCTCCCGTGGGGGCACATATGTGGCTGTCATTAACATGTGGATGTGGTGGCAGCCATTGCTCCCACATGACATCAGACCTGCATGCCGTTGGCTTGGGAGGATAAGATTGAATTTTTGGACCATTTTGTGAATGGGAAAAGTGGCAGGGGGTGAAGTCACGTGTGCAGGTTCGCACCAAGTGCGAGCGGGGTCCAGGGCTGCTTCAGTGGCTGGCTTCTCACTGTTGTTTTTATTTTGGCCGAAAGCAGAGAGAAGGTCTCTTTGTCGCATATCCTAATTAGGTTTTTCCTATGACTAAGAGTTTTTTCCAAACACCGAAGTATAAAGCTCGTAATGAAGTGTTGCTGATAAATTAATGAAACTTAGAGCTGTTTCCCCTCAGGGGCATAGGTTAGATCAGTGTTCAACAGTGTTCTTGAAAATCTTTGTGGATGTCAGTGACAGACAGTGAGAATGACAGCGGCGTTTATGGGGAAGTAGTTCTGTGTTTCTGCGCAGTCTCGGTGCACAGGACGGAAGCTGCAGCCCATCAGAAGGACGCGGCGCATTCCCTGCTGCCGCCACCGCGTGCTTAGCCCCTTTGAACTCCGCTCAGAGGTGTGAGATGTGTGAATGTTGTCGCCAGTCTCCTGCGAAACTCTTCACCATTGCAATGTTTAATTAAGTTGCCTTTTCTTATTCAGGGGGAAGTTTGTCGCCCTTGAGAACATCAGTTGCAAGATTAAATCAGGGTGCGAGGGACACCTTCCGTGGCCTAATGGCATCTGTACTAAGTGCCAGCCGAGTGCCATCACGCTGAACAGACAGGTGAGATGTCCGCCGTGTCTGTCCAGACAGGAAAGCAGCTTTGTTTTCATGGCTGAGAAATGAGAATCTCCTTGGAGAGGAGCTGCCACTAGCAGAGGGCATTGCGTGTGGCGGATTCTCAGTACATTGTCACCGATCGATTGACCCTTTGGCAGAAACTGTACACTCAAGACAGTGTTTGTAAGACTTGTAGCTCCTGCAGGCCCGGTACGGTGGGGGGACGGGAGGGAGCACATTAGTTTTTTCTTTTGTCGCCTTGTGCGAAGGGAGAATTTTACCGAGGACTGTTTAAAATGCTCGCTGGTTGTGACTCTGCCTTTTAAGAAACTGTGCCTCTGGAAGCTGGTACCAGAGCTGTCCTGGGACCAGCTCAGGGCAGCTGTCCAGGCAGGCTGTGAAGGGAGCTGGGCCGAAGGAGGACGGGGGCCAGGGAGGGCCGTGTGTGGCGGTTCCGTCGTTTCCGCCCCGCGGTCGGTCCTGCCCCCGAGTGTGGCTGCCTCGTCCCCCGCCTCTGGCAGCCCACGTTCGTCCCCTTAGAGTCCATCCCCCCATCTTCGTGACTCTTTGGAGACCTGTCTTCTTGTTCTTCGGCTCCCGTCCATCAGCTTTCTTGTTCTCTTTCGCTTTTTGATATGATTCTTTCCCCTAGAGATTTTGCGAACCTCCATTTTAGGTGAAATCCCAGTGACCTTAATATGAATTAATTTATCAAGGAGTTCCATCCCAGCCCCACACACACACTAGA